TCTAGTGCCAGCTCTAGAATTTTTCTCGTGCTTCTTTGCAAAAATTGATCAACTTACAGCAATATTTCCGTGCTGATCTAGAATTTTTATTCTTATTTCGATTAAAATATGGGAGTTCGGCAGTTTGCGCCTCGTTTCTGGTGCCGAGCACTAGAATTTTTCCCCGACTTTTCTCTCCGTGTTCTTACGGTTCTATCTCTCCCCTCAACCCTTCGATAAAATGTCAATAGAAAAATTTTATTGACCCATACTTGAATGAATTTGAAACATCACAATTGAAGAAACCATCAGAAAACTCACTTTCCGGGAAATTCATGAAAAATTCGAAATTTTCAACAATCATAAAAATCAAATCAGCCAATATAACAATCGTAATCATCTTTCAACTTCGACTGAATGGCATTAAAGCAAACATTTTAAGCTATGATTGAGTTCATTTGAAGCATGATATTCAAAGATATCCCCGGAATTCTGATTTTCAAAAAATACAAAATTTTTGCAAATTTTCGAATAAATCAAAATAACGATTATTGCTATCACCTTTATCTTCGAACTCAGTCAAAAGGACATCCAAACAAATTTTTTAAGCCATCATTCAATTAATTCAGAACATTTTTTTTTAGTTATCGTAGGACAACCGATTTTCAAAAAAATACGAAAATTAAAAAACTAATCGATGAATTAAATTTTAATTCAAGGCGATCGATAGGGCTCAACAATACATTTGTTACATACGTACACATCTACACACGTACGGACGAGGTCTAAAAATTGCATCTTCGGACTATTTCGATCATACTGGGTCGATACAACACAAAAAATCCAAAATTGAAATTTGAACGATTACAAAGCCTCTATTCGGAGGCAAAAAAATGCAATTGTGAATTTTTCTTCATCTTTAGTTTCTTGAAGTCTAAACAATTAATTCTAATAATTGCTCAATAAGAAAAAATGAAAAATAGAATAAGAAATATAATTTACAAAATTGTCGGAAATCTCCCCATTGAAACCGTTCGGTCGAATGAACAATAGACGACCCAAGTCTTGATAGACGTAATGTGAATTGAGCCCGCGTGTTGAGCATGGGGGTTCATGAACCATAACGCAATCAAACGCCTCGTGAGTACAAAGTCCGCTGATTTAAGAGCCACATTATTATCTAATTTATCGATAACGAAAGTCATCAGATGATAAAAAAAACTTGACGAAGAAACGAAACAAACATTCAAGGCCGGTTCTGCAGTGCGTCTGCTGCTGATATTTTTACGTATCTCGTAACTGCCCGAAAAATCCCGGCCTGTGATTGGCCACTGCTCAGGGGGCTTGACTCGGGCCGTTAAATTCCGGACTAAGCCGGTTCCTATCATCCTAAACAACTTCGAAGAGAAATAAAAGGAGAGAAGGAACATGCACAGAAATGAACAGGTGTTCTCAAGGTCTTTACGCATTAATTGCGAGGTTTTTATTGGTTGAGACTGGAGGCACGAAAGTATATCTTTTTCATAAAAACATTAATCAACAGAACAATAAAGGAATGATAATTAAAGGTAAAAAACAAACAAGCATAATTAATAATTGAGAACGTGGTAAAATGAATATGCGTCTGGATAAATTTCATCAGTGAATTTAATTCAGTAGCAAAGTGGTAAAACGGTTCAACTCGACGTATCTCCCAGTTGAGTTTTTGAGAAATATTTCGGAATCTAAGGGAGATAGCGAAATATTTGTAATTACACTTGTTGTAACTCTCAACCGGCTCTACAAAAAAAGTTATAACAAAAATTGACGGGAGGGTTACGAATTGATTTCCTAGAAAACTGAAAAAAAATTTTGAATTCTTCTGAAAAATTCAGTTTTCCAGATAACCGCAGATCTTCAAAGATTTTTCTCGAATTATTTGGGAAACCGAAGAATTTTCATGAATTTTGTAGAGTTTAGAATTTATGTATTGAAATCTGAGAAGTAAGAATTGATCATTTTTGCGTATGATAAATATGAAAAAATTAAAATTTGGGAAGTAGAGAATAATTTGTGAGTTAAAAAAATTTACAAATATCATGTTTTTTTCCCCATGATCAACAGCTCGGCAATTTAAGTATGTTTTGGTATGAAGATAAACTTCACACATGAAAAAATGAAAAATATGACGCAGAAAAAATTGTTGGCATTGAAGAATTTGAAAATACCGGGGATTTTTTTCAGCGACTACTTCACGTGACTCATTGACCAATCAGAATTGGAGATTAGCGCTCAGGCAGTTTCGAGATATTTCGATATTAAACAACTTTACATTTCTTTCATCTTTAGTAAATAGGATTCCTGTGTTTTACCCATTCTCCTAAGCTATCTGGGATTTTGCATAGGAGTTTTTAAAAAATCAAAGAATGTATATAAAAAAATCATTAATTTCTTGACTTTTTTTCAACCTCCTCTGACTACGCCTTAAATACCAAAATGCAACAAAAAATGTACATGTAATCGTGTTTAGAAACGAAAGCACTTGTGAATTGTAGAGGAAAAATAATTGTAATTTCGATTACCGATGGTAATGTATCATTATAACAGAATATCTAGAATTTTTATTCCTGCGAAGATCAATTGAACCATAATTTTTCTCTTCAATCCTTCAGACAGGAACAACTTCAAACGCTCTCCCCCGCCCCGCATGAAGAAGTCATCAACAAGCGATAAAAAATTTAATGTGTCATTCTCACTCAGCATTAATTACTATTAATTACAATTTACAAACGTACTGGTGTCGAGGCGATAAGCTAACGACAAAAGTCTAGATTCATTATTGCGGTCATTGGGCAATGGTCGCCCAGGGAGGTCTGTACACATTTATGGGTAAGCCACACGTGACGAGATACCATAGTAGTCATTATTGTCTACGAGTGAAAGAGAATTAATATGAGTGTTGTGGATGTTGTCTTACGCACGAGACTGGATGGAAACAATATGGAATTACTTTGAGATACGGTTCATAAATATTAACGTTACCTCGTTCATGTTAATGAATGTGATGATTATTCAACGTTGAGTTGTTAATGCAAAATTAAAATGAATACTTGGAGATATTCAGCGGCAATATTATTTGAGGTCTTGATGGTTATTGGTGATTGAATATTTCCTACAATTTTTATTTCATGAAAAAGTTGGTTGGATAAATTGTTTAGACTTGGAGAAGCTCAATACGTGAGGAATCTCACAATTTTATAATTTTGTTTACTTGTTTTGTTCATTTTTTAGCGGAGAGGGGATGATGACGTTACATCTCCGCGCACTTTGCTGTTGACGCGAGAATGAATGCACTAATCTCCTCATTTATTTATGAAATTGTTCCAAATAATGCTTTAGTTGATGCCAAAACTGCGTAAACTCATTGAAAGATAATGCTACCCAAAAGTTAATTTCTAGATTTCCGGAAAAAATTCTAAATGACTTGATTTATTGCATTCTCATAAGTTATTGAATTTTTCTATCCTCATATGTTGTTGATGAAGGCAACAACAACTGTTTGAATCAAGCAAAAAATTATTTGTTCATTAATTGTTTGCATCAAATGAAAAATTATTTCACGAAATTTGCTAGAGTTGAAAATCGCAAAAACTATGTACTAGTCAATTTAAAAAAAATTCACCGTATTGGGAATTTATTAATCTGCCACGGATTAGTTTTTTGAGAGCATCGTTTTCTCATAAGATGAAAAAATCGAGTTCAGGGGGAACCACATTTCATTATTTATTATCTCCCAAATTGTAGTACAGCTAGTTAGAATTTTTTTCAATAGCTGCGGAATATTATAAACATTATCTATAAAAAACTTGACGATAATCGTAAGAGAAAACCTGTTTTCTGGGAATATACCTCAATTTCTCAAATCGCAAATTCGACGAGAGGTGGCGTTGACGAATCAGAGTTGTGACGTCATTCAAGGTCATGAAAGTCTTTTGAAATGATCGTTGCTCAATCATTTTTTAATAATAAAAAAAACATTTGCAATGTTTTACTTTGGATTTAGCCACAATGTGACATAAATAATCGAAGAACAAAATAAAAAAATGAATAAAAATTATGAAAAATTGCCCTCATTCAAGGTTATGAAAGTATTTTGAAATGATCGTTGCTCAATTATTTTTTTAATCGTAAAAAAACAATTTACAATGTTTTACTGTGAATTTAGCCACAATTTGACATGAATAGTCGAATAAATAAATAAATAAATGAATGAAAATTATGAACAATTGTCCCCGGGGACAATGACATAAAACGACGAGAGATGGCGTTAATGGAGCAGAGTTGTGACGTCATTCAAGGTCATGAGAGTATTTTGAAATTATCGTTGTTCAATCATTTTCTTAATCATAAAAAAACCATTTGCAATGTTTTACTTTGAATTTAGCCATAATGTGACATGAATAGTCGAATAAAAAAATTAAAAAATGACTGAAAATTATGAAAAATTGTCCTTAGTAGGGGACAATGGCATCAAAACGACGAGAGATGGCGCTAACGGACGAGACTTGTGACGTCATTCCAGGTCATGAAAGTATTTTTAAATGAACGTTGCTCAATAATTTTTTTAATCATAAAAAAACAATTTGCAACGTTTTACTTCGAATTTAGTTACAATGTGGCATGAATAGTCGAATAAAAAAATGACTGAAAATTATAACAAATTGTCCTCGGTAAGGGACAATGACATAAAAACGACGAGAGATGGCGTTGACGGATCAGAGTTGTGACGTCATTCAAGGTCATGAAAGTATTTTGCAAAAAACAATTTGCAATGTTTTACTTTGACTTTAACCACAATGTGAAATGAATAGTCGAATAAAATAAAAATTTAAAAAATGATTGAAAATTATGACAAATTGTCCTCGGTAGCGGACAGAGACGTCAAAACGACTGAAGAAAGAACGAAATAGGGAAAAAATTGCCGCAAATATTTACATCCGTCGGTGTGCGGAAGAACGTAAACATGAGTTAAATAGACTCACCTCGTTTTTCTTCGGCGCAGGGTGCCATATTGTGTTCAATCTTCAGTCCCCTAATATCACCCTTACCAGCAGTATCGGTTCCCTCCTCCTGAAGAATTCCAGCCTGCAGTGCCAATCTCCTTATGACAATGCAGTACCCAATGATGGGCCCAACAAGTAGATCAAGACAGGCAGCAACCCAGGGCATAACCTTACCGGCCTCAAGCCCAAGATGAAATTTATCGTCAAGATCCGTTTTTACGTTAAATCTCCGTCAAATGCTCAACAATAATCTCTCCCCGATAAAATAAACAACTCTCTTTTATCACAGTTTGCCCCGGCCGAAATAAAATATCAAATTTTCTCCATTAAACGACAGATAAAAAAAAATTGGAAAAAATAAAATAAAATAGACTTTTGATGCTTCAAATTATGGGCTAAAGCTCTTCAGAAAAATGATCGCTGCTTGTGTGTCGTATTATGGACGAGAGGTCCTCCCTCATTCCAATTTGTTTAATCCTCACCTCCGGAGCCAGTTTGCGTGATTGATAATCAATCAATGTGAAATTATGAGTTATTCCTAGTGATTCTTATTGCGATCCCAGGGGGAAAATGCAATTTATACTTCTGTATATTTCTTCACGTGACCTTTCTCTACATACTCGGATCGATGATTCTCCCCTTGAATGGCTCTGCCAGTCCTTATAAATTTTTTTTTCACCACTTCCTCACTTCTTCACTCAACTCGCTCATGAATCTTTCTCCTCGTTAATATACAAAACAGGTAAAACCGGTCTTTCGTATTTTTCTGGTGAAAATATAACTTTTGTTTTCGTTCGATATCTAGCGCTCGCAACGCCCCCTGCTTCGCCAAATCTAGGGCTTCGTCTTCAATAATTCAAGTCTCTATTTTTATTTGTTGATGACGAAAACAGTTACGCTGAATATTGTTTAAACCTCGCAATTTAATCGACCTTATCTTCGCTGATACAACTGTATTTATTTTTATCTCGAGTTTTTTTATTCGCGGATGGTGCGGATGGATACTAGTACTGGGTACTACCAGAGCTTTTGAATCTGCGATTGTTGGGGATCCGTTTGGCTGAAGCTCGTGCGACGAACTAACTCTCGCCTCGCCCCGTATTACTTTTAGTATCGACCGTCGACTCAGTCTCTCTTACTCGCACATCTACCCCCCACTTTCTGTTTGTACATATGTACAAGTTTGTGCGCGGTGTTTATCCGAAGATTTGATGTACGCAAAAATTTGATAAAAGCTACAGCATTTGCTGAAAATTCTTTTGAATTTTTACTGGTTTTTTGTGGAGAAAGTCCATTAAGTTTTTTGCCAATTCTCGTGTTTTCAATAGATATGTTCAATAGATTTCATTTTTTTCTATAATTCATTGCGTTGAAATATTTGATTTTTTTAATGAGAAAGGGAAGTTCATAAAAAATAAACAATTTATGGAGAAAAATATTTGATAATTTTTTATTTTCGTAGTTTTTTAACGTGGAATTTTTTGTATTTTGGCATATTTGTGACCGTAAATTGGCTGGGGGAAGTTGTTCAATAATAAGAAACACAGAAGTTTCGAATGTTTATTCGGAGATTTGATGTACGCGAAAATTTGATTGGAAAAAGCTACAGCATTTGCTGAAATTGCTGTTGAATTTTTATTGGTTTTTTTTTGTGAAGAAATTTCATTAGTTCTTTGCCAATTTGCGTTTTTTTAATAGAAATGTTCAATAGATTTCATTTTGTTGTATAAGTCATTGCATTGAAATATTTGATTTTTTATGAGAAAGGGAAGTTCAAAAACTAAAAAATTTATGGAGAAAAATTTTTGATAATTTTTTATTTTCGTAGTTTTTCTTAACGTGGACAGTTTTTTGTATTTTTGCATACTTGTGACCGTAAATTGACTGGAGAAAATTGTTCAATACTAAAAAACACACAGAAATATGCAAAATTGAAAAAATTGAAATGAATTATGAAAATTGTCCCATTTTTTCAATTTTGCCAAAGTTAATTTTTTACGATAATTATTGACTTTGAAAAAATGTGCTGTAATAGTTTTTGGTTATAACCTAAAAGTAATATGCTCATGTCGTTTGTATTATTTTTTAAGTTAAAATTTGTTGATTTTATATTATGTGAGGAGCCATTAACCAATTTTGTAAGATGAATAGACTGCCCTGAAGAAGTGTGATAGCACACAAAACCTTGGCAAAATTGAAAAAAGCAGGAGAATTTCCACATTTTTTTTAAAGTTACAATTTTTCATTTTTTATTTTTGCACATTTGCGACCGTAAATTGACTGGAAGGAGTTGTTCAATAACAATAAAAAAACGCACCGAGATTTCTAACGAATGCTCCAGACATTTCAATCGGTGTGCGGGAATATTTGAGGAAAGACTTTTTAAAAAACTTGTTTTATGTCATAGGTGCCCAGAATCACGCGATTCTAACCTCGCTTCGCTCGGTAGAATCGCGGATTCTGGCCCCTGTGACATAATAGTACATTAGAGTACAAGGGCACAAATTTCGTTTTCAACGAATGTGTGTACAGACCTCGCCTTCGGCTCGGCCTGTAAACTACACATTCGTTGAAAACGAAATTTATTACCGAGTGTCTATAATATTTTATGTCAAGTCGTGCAGAAGTCGAGTTTTGAGCAGGCTGCGCGAAGCGCAGCGTGCGATAAACTCGACTTATTGCACGGCGCGACATAAAATAGTATACGAAACTCGTGCGTTATGGTGTTTTTTGACTCGTGGGATTGTAAAACTCGCCTTCGGCTCGTTTTACAACTTCTCACGAGCCAAAAAACCCATTACGCACTTGTTGCGTAATATACTATTGTCTTTATTTACATCTTAGAATGTCCAATCCGTTCAGGAAAGAATTTGTTTCACAATATTCTTAACAACCAGACGTCAAACTTTGTATTTCCATTTCCACTTATTTTTCTCCTAAGCCTAGCTTTTGAAAATGTCGCGTGATATTGCATCAACTTTCAGTCAAAAATTATTTCTTCATTCTTCGATTGCCATCCTGTGCATATTCTATACACAATGTTGACTAAAATATTTTTATACACGTATACTCTCTTTAATTATTTCATCCTTTAATTGCATCTACATACTTAAATAAAGAGGTACATAATTTTACGGAAAAACATTCAATTGAAGTAATCATCAAGCCTCTGACAGTTACATAACGTTAAGAAGAATCTTGATATAATTTGCTGTTCTTCACTTCAGTTGGATCTTCCACCCCTGGATTTTCTCATGTTCCATCGCCCGAAACCTCTCACTGTCTGGCGATGTTTATTTCCATCGCGACACGTGGTTTCATTACTTACCGCGCGATATTCTATACTATCACGTGCGTAATTCCGCTTGTTTTTGTAATTAAATGAATCGAATATACGTAGATATTTTGTCATAGTTGATTATATTTAGCCAGGTGCTATGACCTCTGTGTGCAGGGCGGGGGGGAAGCGATTATGACCCGGATTTTCACTGTTCTCAACCTCGCATGCCCACAAAGATCACAATTCTATAGGTTGAGAACTTCGGTGAGACTTCGAGGCAACTTCTTGCTTTCGAATAAAGTCCCCTTCATCAACATTCCCACACTCCAATGATGATCAAGTAATTTTTCACAGAATGAATGACAAAATTATTTTGGACATGATCCCGATGTGTGAAATATCTAGAAATAAAATTAGAAGCTGAAAATGTGAAAATAGACTTGGATAACCGTCAAATGTTAAATAGACTTGACATTTTATCGGTCTCCGAGCGACTAGTTGACTCCAAAGTCCACGGTCTGTCTGTTATTGTCGCGCATGACATGTGAGAATTTTTCTATTTCACCTTCTTTTTTTTGCATTGACGTTTTTCCATCATTTATCGTTAAGAATGGAAATACGAAAATGTTCTAGAAGATGTAGACTCTCAACCTGAAAGATAGGATTTTCCTGAGGAATTGGAGAGAGGCGTAACTGCAACGAAATATTATAGTCTATTGATTACATTTCATAATGTTTATTTTCTAACGCGTTCGATTATTCTGAAGGACAATTTCGCCGTCATTCATTCGCAACCAGACGAATTTATTTGATAACGTCTTATCAACGAAGCTATTTATGTCCCAACACTTGATATGAAGGAACCAAACATAAAAACCCATACTAATATCTAAGCGTATCAGCTACTGCTTGAAAACATTTGGATTTTATCACAGAAATCTTTTCTCAGGAAAAAATAACAAATCCATCACCTGAATGTCTTCTATATTCATGTAACATCTGTCACCAATGAAGAAAATTTAATTGCAAAGAGATTCCCCACTGGCCGTCAGAAGACAATTCCTGTGATTATCGACTGACGGTAATTCTGGACGAAATCGTCTGGAAAGATAGTGATGTGAAGACAATTCATTGTACCGTACGTGAAATCCTGGGTTTTGTGTCTCCGTGTAATTTGATAAAAATTAGAAGACAGACCATGACTGTGATTACCACATTATATTTTCGTCAAAATTTGTAATAAATCTATTACAAATATATTTCATTTGACACCCGAGTCGAATAATTGGACCTGACAAATTCTACTCAGGTCTTTCCGTTCAGAACTGGATAGGTCTTGGGAAGCCTCTTCCCAAGTCCTTCCGAGACCTTTCTACCTCTAGTTATGTCCCATTTCAGTACTTGTTAGGTGTAAGCAGGACTTGCATTCAGACTTTCCAAATTCTTCCGGTCCCCGTAATTCTATGGGCCTATATTAAATCTACGTTCATATCCCTGTTTACTCATGCGTTATTGAAATAAAAAATGCAATTATTGTTTTTTTTTTTAATGTCGAAAATCGACATTTCACGGGAGGGTGGAGGGGAGATGCATGTATGCGGAGGCTTGACATTTTTAACCAACAAGCGGAGAAGGTTGCAGAATCTATTCTAGCCACTCTTGCCCCTCCACTTGCATGCATTGTCCAAATAAAAAATGAATGTGTTAACAAATCTGACCCTTGTTCCAAATAAAAACCGAAAATCCGACCCTGTGGCCCCCGGTGAAATTTTTTTTTTCTGTTTTCACTTCTTCCACATACTTTTGATAGTTCTGGATAGCCTGTCGTTTAAATAGTTGGAATCAACGTTCACCCGGCTAAAAAATTCGATTTTGGTGAAAGTCGACTTTCCCCCTGAAAAAATCCAAGATCTGACCCCTTTGGGTCAGGGTGAAAATTTTTTTTTTTCAGTTTTAACTTTTTCCACATACTTTTGAGAGTTCTGAATAGCCCGTCGCTTAAATAGTTGGAATCAACGTTCACCCGGCTAAAAAATTCGATTTTGGCGAAAGTCGACTTTCTCCCTGGCAAAACCGAAAATCTAACTCTTTGGCTCCGGATGAAAAACAATTTTTTTTAGTTTTCACTTTTCCCACATACTTTTGAGAGTTCTGAATAGCCCGTCGCTTAAATAGTTGGAATCAACGTTCACCCGGCTAAAAAATTCGATTTTGGCGAAAGTCGACTTTCCCTCTGGAAGAACAGAAAATCTGACTCTTTGGCTCGGGGTGAAAAAAAAATTTTTATTTCGACTTTTGTCACGCCTTCGGGGGTTTCATTGGCATCAGAATTGTTAGAAAATACAGAATCAACTTTCACTTGGTGAAAAAATTCAATTTTGGCGAAAATCGACTTTCACCTTTGACCCACGTGAAAATGAAAACAATTTTTTCCCCTTTTCTGTCACCTCCGAGGGTTTCACTGACATCAGGGGGTCAATAATTACAGAATCAACGTTCACTATTTTTTATTTAAACACCGCCTGCAAACGGGGAGATGAGGGTGGCTAAAATATATTCTGCAACCCTGTCTCCTCGTTGGCTACAAATTTCAACCCTCCGCATATGTGCCTTCCCCTTCATCCGCTCGTAAAATTACGCATTCTCGGTAGCATCGAGGAGGACTTCTCAGGACCGAAAAGAACTGAGGATTCGAAAGGTCTCTGGAAAAGTACGTCGCAGAACTGATTGGGACTTACCAGGTCCATCTAGGTCTGGAGAGATCTTGAAAGACCTGTGTACGTCCAATTAGAACCAAATTCTCGACTCGGGCAACCTCAGAGTACCCGCATGAGACTCCCAGCTACAACATTGTAGTTTCGTTATCATTTGTAATAAATATATTTCATTTGACAACCTCAGAGTAGGTGAGACAACCAGCCGAATGTAAAGATATAACCAAGCAGAGGTTAAGAAACGAATTCTATTAATGACTATCCCTCATCACACATTTCAATTTTTTTCACCTTCATTCTTCTTCTTCGATTAATCATACATAACATAAAAGTTGTTACCAGTTGCTGATTATCTAAACAGCTTCAACAAAGTTTCTTAAAAATCAAAGGACAGACCATGACCCTAGTAGAAATTCTGACCGGCAGGGCGACATTGTATTGGACGCGCTAGCGAGGACCTTCTGCCGTTAGCCACACGTATGTTATACGCTCGGACATTTGATTTCTACCAGGGGATTGCCACTTTATATTTTCATCATAATTTGTACGTTTTGACAAAAACGTATATCAAGGCATATAATAAATGTATAACATCTGCACTTAATGATCTCGTATATTTCATTCGACAACCTCAGAGGGTTACCGTAACTGTTGATCCGTGGAAAAAATTTCTGCGACAAAATTGCCGTGACGGCAATTTATCCATTGGCAATCTTTCCACTGACAATTTCCTCAATTCTGATTTTGACCAATCAGAGCGCAGTATTCGGGGTCACGTGACGCATTTCACACTGATAATTTCCCCGGCTGCAAGGAAATTATCAGACTGATAATCTCCCTGTAGCCTGTCAATTGTTTTCTACGAATTTGACAGGTATTGCTCACATTTTGGTGAAATATGTCCCGTAACCATTATGTGTCACTGCACCCTGATCGGCCAAAATCAGAATTGAAGAAATTGTCCTCCGAATACTCCTCGACCTTCAAAATTCATCGAATATTTCCCTCAAGTTTTCCTGCATATCAACGATCGGGATCAGTATTGCAGTAAAATCCCTCGCGCTGCGCGGTCGGGATTTTAATCTGCAACACTGATCCCTCTCATTGCTATGGAACAAAATATTCGAGAAATATCCGATAATTTTGAAGGTCTTGGGGTATTATAGTTGACAATTTCCCCCACATCCATTATTCCCGAGATACAAAACAACCACCGACAAATGTGCCGGAGGTTTCATTCAGCGTTTACCCTCTTCTAAAACAATATCAAGTGCAAAAAAGAAAAAAGTAACTCAGAATTCAGAGATAATATTTAATTCGCAATCTTCAATTCGATAACTCACATTTTACATACAATTATAATGCTTCCGCCACTTCAGCAAAAAAATTCCCCTCCATTCATAGAAGCCCGCTATGACGATTGATAAATATACATTTTAACCATTTTTTGAAATTGAATCAACACAAAATTACAAATAATTCTGAACAAAAATCAAATTAACAGCAAATTTCATAATACTGAATTTGTATAATAGTGAATTAAAAGTCAATTTTGTGTGAAGTAACGAGGCTATCGGTGATAATACAAATAGGGAAACATTGTGAAGTAGTGAATTTGATTGGAATCGAAAAGAGAGAGGGTTATCGGAAACCCTCGCTACTTACTGGTTATCATCCGAAATAGTAACCACATGAAATATCGGATAATTTATCGACGGATATAATGTACCAAGAATAAATTGGTGGCAGATCAGATGTCAACAATACATTTGTTGCTGGAGGAATTATCTTCAGTTTTCTCTTCATTTGGGAATTTTGTACATGCAAGGGGCACATGCGATTTTTAATACGCCTGCAAAGGAAAGTTCGTATTTTGCTCGTTGATGAGCGGGAGCAAAGTGAGTACTTTCTGCCCTACGGTGGAAAGTTGCTCCTAAGGGCGGAAAGTCTTGACTTGTCAGGTCCAATTATTTGACTCAGGTAATTTGTACGTTTTTTTTTGTAATTTTTATTGAATTTTTCTCTCCGTGTAGAGACATCACATGACTAACAAATCATATGACTAACTTCCAATTGTGCCTCTGCTCCGACTCCTTTGACATTCTTTTTCATCATTTTTAGGAAATAACCTCATTTAAATTGAATTAAATCAAAAATTTAATTTTGTCCTTTGACTAGCCGCGGGATTCGGTACCATGCAAACTAAACTCGGCCTCACCAAGATCCTCCAGAACTTTACAGTGGACGTCTGCGATAATACTGATAAAGAATATAAAATTAATCCCAAAGCCTTCTTGTTGATACCGCTGAATGGTGTAATCGTGAAGAATGGAGAGGTCCAATCGCGTGATAACAGAATCCCGTAGAATTTTACAATATTGTAGTACACGACAATTATTATCATTGTTTTTGAAATAGAATTACGCAAGTGCATGGGAAGATGAAGAGTTGAAATTTATTAGCAGATAACTCCATTATCTGAATACATCATACCTTCGCTCAGTCACCACCGTCGATGTATGACACACAGCTGGCAGCAGCAAATAGTTTCGCGCGAGCCGCCGCGAACAGCGCATCGCGAACATTAAGAATAATCAAGTGTCCCTCCAACTATGGAGTTCAGTTTTATCGAGTGCATAATCACAATCTCCGTCTTATCATGCGGTATCTACTACTATTTCGTGAAGAATTTCAATTTCTGGAAGTCGAGAGGAGTTGCAGGGCCCGAGCCCTGCTTCTTCTTCGGAAATATGAAAGACTTGATGAGGGGAAATGAGAGTTGGGCGTTATTTCTACGACGAACTTACCAACAATACATTGACGAACCGATGGTCGGTATCTACGCACATAGAGAGCCAATCCTGATTCTCAATGATCTTGAGTTGATCAAGACAGTCCTCATAAAGGACTTCAGCAATTTCGTAGATCGAGGGGCGAAAGCAGATCCCCACGATGTCCTCTCCAATCACTTATTTATGCTGGATCCCAAGAGATGGCGCCCCCTGCGGATGAAGTTGTCACCAGTCTTTACATCCGGCAAACTGAGAGACATGTTCTATCTCATCAATCAATGCGGTAATCGTCTAGAAAATTATCTGGACAAGGTTGATGGCCAGTCCATCGACATGCGCGATATAGCCGGGAAATTCGCAACTGACGTCATTGGTCTGTGTGCTTTCGGTGTAGAAGCGAATGCACTGGAAGAAGAGGACAGCGCCTTCCGGAAAATGGGTCTGCGCATGCTTCAGGTTATGACAAGTCTGAAAGCTGTACTGAAAATGTACCTCATGGAGATGCTGCCACCTGTGTACAGGCTCATTGGTGGACTCCTTGCGGAGCGCGAAATGCAAAGCTTCTTCATCAACCTAACGCGTGATACGATGGAGCACAGGAGGAAGATGAACATCACAAGACACGATTTCATAGATTTACTGAGATCTCTGAAGGAGGAGCCAAGTCAGATTGATGACATCGAATTGACAGACGGATTATTGGCAGCTCAACTATTCGTCTTCTTCTTCGCGGGATTCGAGACCTCATCGTCTACCATCAGCAATTGTCTGTTTGAACTCGCGATGAATCACGAGATTCAGGATAAGCTCCGCGAAGAGATCAAGCAGGAACTCGGTGAGTCCCGGGAGATTACGTACGAGGGGATCAAGAGGATGAAGTATCTTGATCTGGTGGTGAAGGAGACCTTGAGGAAGTATCCACCGCTCACGATGCTGATGAGGAAGTCAGCGAAGGACTATACGTTTCCGGGGACTAATATAACTATTCCTGCGAAAACTGGAATCTTGATTCCTATTTACGCGATTCAGAGGGACTCCAGGTATTACCCGGATCCTGATGTCTTCAATCCTGAGAACTTCAGGGAGGAGGCCGTGCAGAGTCGACATCCAATGACGTATTTGTCGTTTGGTGATGGCCCGAGAAACTGTATCGGTATTCATAATTGTTTAAATGTCATTCCTGGCGATATTTTCCTCTGCATGGAGTAAGAATGATTTTGTTTTCCATCCGCAGGTGCGAGATTTGGTAGTATTCAGACTAAAGTCGGTATTGCGAAGCTCCTACAGAATTTCGTGGTCGATATTTGTGATAAAACCGATAAGGACTATACGCTTAATAACAGGGCGTTCATGCTGACACCGAAGAACGGTATTTTCGTCAAAGTAACGAAGCTTCGATCTTGATGAGTTACCGGAAATTTCCTTTCACTTTGATGTTTACAATTTTCTCCAGACATACATATTCCTAGTGTATAAAATTCTTTATCGTAGTAATTTCCTTATAGCCTCCGTATGAATAGCAATGGCCTATCTTGTGAGAGACTGCAATTCATTCTTACGTGGAAGGTAAACATTTTACTACTAATGCTGTTCTCAGCGAGACTTTAGTCGTCTTAATGACGTCCGTAGTTCTCTTTTTCCTTATGTCAGACTATCAATATTTGTGATTGTTGTTTTACTAAACTAAATATACTGAATAATTGTTTATTATAAGAACGGCTTTACGAATCAATTTTTTTCTTACATTACACCAGTCATTAACCAAAGTTGATTAATCATTCTTATATTTTTCCAATCATCAACAAAGGCATACATCAGGACTGAATATCTTGTACATTTCTCAGTTGTGACGGTACACTTGAAGCGTATCTGTGAATACCATGGTAAATATCAGTGTTATGCAAGGCACGTAGCGAAGTACATCGCTAATTGCGTCGGAATTCCGCCAAGAATACAATGCGTGAACTCTCGCAAAAATGTCCTTCGGGCTTATCGAATGGTTTATCATAGCCCCCGTTGTTATAATCGGCCTCTACTACTATCTCGTCTCGAACTATGATTTCTGGAAGTCCCGAGGAGTTGCATGACCACTTCCCATCCCCTTCTTCGGGAACATGAAAGCCTTGTTCACTGGAAAGATCGCCTGGTCAACGTTCATGATCGATCTGTACCAGAAGTACAGAGTAGAACCGATGATCGGAGTTTATTTCAGAAAAGAGCCAATCCTCATACTGCACGATCTTGAACTCATCAAGACCGCTTTCATAAAAAACTAAGTAATTTTGTGGATCGAGCGGAGCAGAGGGACATCTTTAGTTCTCTGTCCAAACATCTATTCCTGCTGGCAGCCAAAATGTGGCGCCCTCTGCGCAAGAGGCTATCGCCCGTTTTTACGTCAGGAAAATTACGCGACATGTTTCATCTTCTCAATCAATGCGCTGATTATTTAGAGAATTATCTGAATGATGTTGATGGTGGGTGTATTGACATACGCGATATCGCGGCGAAATTCACGACCGACACCATTGGTCTTTGTGCCTTCGGCGTCGAGACGAACGCCTTCGGAAAGGAGGACAGCGTCTTCCGGACGATGGGCAAGCGGATTTTCAATTTCAATTGAAAGTTGATGATGAAATTCCGATTCTGGAGCTCTGTCCGCCATTGTTCAGACTTGTTGGTGGTCTGCTGGAGGACTACGTTCTTCAGGACTTCTTCATCAGCCTCACACGGGACACAATGGAGTACAGGAAGAAAATGAACATCACGAGACACGACTTCATCGATCTGCTGAGAGCCCTCAGGGAAGAACCCAGCCAGATCGACGACATTGAGCTGACGGACTCTCTGATGGCTGCACAGCTGTTCGTCTTCTTCGTCGCGGGATTCGAGACGTCCTCATCAACCATCAGCAATTGTCTGTTGGAACTCGCGGTAAATCATAAGGTTCAGGATAAGCTTCGTCGCGAGATTAGGAATGAATTTGGAGGGAGTGGAGAGATCACGTACGACAGGATCAAGAGGATGGAGTACCTCGATATGGTCGTCAAGGAGACTCCCAGGAAGGACCCGCCTCTATCGGTGCTGATGAGAATGGCAGGGGAGGCTTACACAATCCCGGGAACTAATGTATTCCTGCCCGGGCTAGAATCATGATTCCTATTCGTGCCCTCCAGAGGGATTCCCGGTATTTCCCGGAGCCCGATGTCTTCAATCCTGAGAATTTCAGCAAGGAGGCGGTAAACAGACGACATCTCATGACGTTCCTATCATTTGGTGATGGTCCCAGAAATTGCATTGGTAACTACAACTTTCTTAAGCGGTCTTGAGGGTTAAAAAAAATTTTTAATGCTGAAAAATGACTTTAAAAAATTGTTCATTTCTCAGAAACTGGATGAAGTAGTAAAAGGTGATACGAGGAGGATAAATAATCTTGAAAACCCCTGGCGGCATAGGGAGTATCCAAGCAAAATGGCGGCGCTCAGCGATCACACACCTCCTGTTTTTGAACATTTATTAGAATTATTTATCCTCTTCAAATCACCTGAAACTTGTTTCATCCAGTTTCTAGAGAAGGAACAAATTTTTTAAGACATCTTCCAGATTTCTTCATTCTCTTTTGCCTCTTCATTCTTCATCTCTTGTTTTTCCAGGAGCACGATTCGGCAGTATTCAAACCAAGGTCGGCTTCGTCAAGATTATCCAAAAAGTTTGCTGTTGATGTGTCCGAAAAAACCGATAAAAAATATGAATTAAATATCAAAGCCTTCCTAATGACCCCGAAAAACGGTATTATCCTAAAAGTGACGAAGTGTTCTTGACTTCGTACCACATTTTACTGTCACGAGTCTGCCTTTAGATAATCCATGCTCTTAATGTTGATGATGATGAATAAATAATTTTTTCTGCCATTGCATTGTTGTTATTCTTTCTGTCTCTCTCTCTCTCCTGCACTTGCAGTTCCATGTTATAATGGAAACATGCGATTCCACTGCAGTTCGGAATGAAGGCGAGTGGGACGGACGGCTGGGGAGTGACTGTATTGTAGATAGTGCGTAGTCCAAACCGACGAGGTTTTGATATACAGACGCATAAAGACGCAATTGACACTTGAGCGTTGAAAAGAGTACATCGTAGATGGTAGGAAAATTAGACTGAACATAACGTAAATAGTCAACACAATGATACATGTAACGAGAAAAAAATTTCTGAGAAATAGAAATTCTATGATTGATCCAAATCGTTCATCGATTGAATAGTCGCAAAAGAAAATGCTATTGTAAGACACAAATATCGATTTGAACTAAACCAAAATTGGATTGTATGAAATCGATTTTGTTATAATATAGTATATTTTGTTTATTCTATCGAATTTAGAAAATACATGTTTCTGGGACAAAATCGATTTCATACAATTTAGTTTTGGTTTAGTTCAAACGCTTCGGATTTGGCGCAAATAATTTTTTTTCACAATTGCAATGGAAAAATAATCCGTTCAAATGATGAAGAATTGCGTTTGTCGTAAACAAGAAACTGCTTGCCGCGAAAGTCTCGCATCAATGAGTATCCAACAATATGATCCTCATAGACCAAATGAATATTTTATTGCATCTATGAATTCTGCTTTCAATCGAACAGATATTCTTTTGCGGGATATCGTAACGCTGATAAATTGGATAATTACATACTTTATTCGAAGAAGATATCTGATAATACAGACATTGATTTGTATGTACTGAAAAGTAAATAGTAAAAAAAAAATAAGTTTAAATAACTGATCTCATTCTTTTTCAATCGAAAACATTAAAATTGAATCGATATTTGTGTGTTACAATAGCATTTTCTTTTGCGACTATTCGATCGATGAACGATTTGGATCAATCATAGAATTTCTATTTCTTAGACATTTTTTTTCTCAGTGTATTGACGTTGTTGCGTGAACGACGGGACTTTCATGCATGCAGAATTCTTCACTTCTAATATTTCTAATTGCGGATCAAGCGTTATATTCTGTGAGAGATCGTGGTGCTATTTTTAAACAGAATTTCGTACTGGAAATAGCAGAGGCCTTCGTTGTTCCAGAATTGTAAGTATTTTTACTTTTTCGCATTTTCCGATGCAGATTCCGTTGTGCTAATTGTATTTGCTGAGAAAAATCTCGAGTTCAAAACAAACACGTGTATTATCTTTTGATGATTCAATCAATTTTGTTCAGATAAAAATTACGGAACACTCCGGAAAAATTCCGTAACAGTTCCGTAAAATTTCCTACAACCACATTTTGCTTCGGAATTACGGAAAAGATACATAATTTTTATTGAATATTTCTCTCCGTGTTTGTTCGTGTAGTGAACCGATTTTTTTATCGGTAATCTTGCTGTTATTTTCTTTATTCTGATTCATTATCTACTTCAGCTTATCCCAATAGAACTAAAATCGCTCTTACTTCAGTTTCGACAGAATTTAATTTCCGGATCAAAAATTTATATTTTTTTGCCCGGTGGCTTGGCGCAATGGGTAAGTTCGTTGCCTCACATGCGAAAGGTTCCGAATTCAAATCCCGGCCGGATAAAATGGTGCGATTCAACCATTTAAAGTCTTGATCATCATCGCAGTATACCCTAACCGGGTCGAAGCGATGTAAAATAATGATTAAAAAAAATCATATTTAGAGTATTTTATTTTTCGGCTTCCACGGAATTGAGAGACAATGCCTTCTTGAAGATAACAAACGGTCCGAACGACGAAAAATCAATATTAGACTGATTAAAGAACCAGTAAAGTGAATGTTCTGAGTCCCAACGACGCATTATGGGCGATAGATAATGACGTTGTCATCACTGATTAATCAGTTTGTCCCAGAAATTACTGATCGATGATGTTTTTCAACTCATAATACATCAGTAGGCAGAAGTCTTTGTTAATGTATGTAACAACACTTGTAGTTACAGCAAAAAGACGGTAACCGGTTTTTCCGAGATGAAAATTCAAATTCTCGAACAGTATAAATCGTGTACATTGCTTCAGGAAATGTGATCAACATCACTAGAGATGCACAAACAAATGCCTTGTTTCGAGATTTCAAAGGTGTTAAAATAAGATATTTCGAAAAGCGTAATTCACAAATGCATTCTCAAAAATATCAATTTGCAATGTTACCGATAATTCTTCTTTCATCTGCAGAAATAATTGAGGATGTCGACCCTGGACTACCTCGCAGCTCTCCTAGCCCTCGCTGGACTCCTCTACTACTGGTCAATCTCAACCTTCTCCTTCTGGAAGGACCGCGGAGTCCCCGGACCCAAGCCCCTCCCGCTCATTGGTAACTTCAAGGACGTCCTAACAGACAGAATATCCATTGGCCCTTGGCTCTTGAGCTTCTACACTGGTTACCAGAATGAGCCAATGGTGGGTATCTTCATCCGCCGTCAACCAGTCCTAGTCCTCAGGGATCTGGACCTCATCAGAGACATCTTCATCCGGGACTTTTCAAAGTTTCCGGATCGCGGAATTCAGGTCTTTGAGAAGGCCGATCCCCTCTTCCAACACTTGTTCAATCTCGATCATTCAAAATGGCGGCCATTGAGGAATAAGCTATCCCCGGCCTTCACCTCAGGAAAATTGAAGGACATGTTCTACCTTCTGCTGAACCGTGGAGATCATCTCCAAGAATATGTGGACAAATTGATTGCTAAAAGTGATTCGATTGAGGTGAGGGATCTCACGGCTAGATTTACAACTGATGTCATAGGATCCTGCGCATTTGGTCTCGAGATGCATGCGATGGACGACGAAAACAGCGAATTCCGAAAAATGGGAAAATACGTTTTCGATTTTGACTGGAAGAGGGTGCTGAAGTTCAGGATAAGGGAAGGTGCTCCCTGGTTGTACCATCTCCTGTGGCCCATCATGAGAGACAACTATCTCACGGACTTCTTCATGAACACGATGAAGGCTACAATTGAGCACAGAAGAAAGACTAAAATAGTCAGGCACGATTTTATCGATCAGATTATCGAGATTCAGGATCATCCGGAGAGGATTCCAGAGGTGAAGCTGACGGATACGCTTCTGACTTCTCAGCTATTCGTGTTTTTCTTGGCGGGATTCGAGACCTCCTCGACGACGATTAGTAATGCTCTTTATGAGCTAGCGCAGCATCAGGATTGCCAAGATAGGTTGAGGGAGGAGATCAGGGAGGTGATGAAGAGGGAGGGAAAACTGACGTATGACGTGGTGCAGAATATGAAATATCTGAATATGGTATTTCAAGGTGAGATCTAGATATGCCATATCATCGTTAATTTTGTTTCTGGTAAATTTTTCGTAAACATGCCCCAATGTCATGCAACAGTCAAATGACATCTTATCTTGATGAAGAATTGCCGTAACAATTTTGTTCCAGTAAAATTACCGTCATTCACGTCTGTAGAAATGCTTTTCAATTTACACTCAAAATGAGGATTTTTTATACTTCGCAATCATTGCCAGTATCTTTGAAAGGTAATTTGCAGTGTGAAAGTCATGATTTACCATTCGGGTATTTTACCGAGAATGTGTAAATTACCCGTATGATTACCCCTTCACATCTCCAGCAAAAACGAGTGATGTTATCCTCCGATTGTTGATTGTATGATTATGGAGACGAGAATAGTTTTCAGTCATGTTTTTTTTTCCAGAAACATTGAGAAAATATCCACCTGTAATGGTCCTAGTCAGACAAAGTGATGCACCGTACACCTTTTCCAACACATCTGTGTCAATCCCAGCGAATACACTCATTATGATTTCGGCGATGGGTATCCACAGAGACCCTGAGATCTATGAAGATCCAGAGAAATTCGATCCTGAGAGATTCACGGAAGAAGCTTTCAAGTCTCGTCATCCGATGAGCTATCTCGCGTTTGGTGATGGACCACGAAATTGCATTGGTATGAATGAATAAGAGGACCATTTACCTGCGATGAGAATTCAATTGAGTGTACAAAATATTTGGACTTTGTATTTCTTTGCAGGCGAACGCTTCGCTAAGCAACAAACAAAGATTGGCCTCATCAAAATCCTGGAAAGTTTCAGAGTGGATGTGAACGACAAGACCGAGATACCTTACAAGGTCAACCCCAGAGGCTTCCTCCTAGCTCCTCTCAACGGGATTTATTTAAAGTTCACGAAAATTTAAGCTGTCTCTAATTTTTCCTAATAAATGAGCCGAAGGTTTTTTCACGTCTCGAAAGTTGATTTTTTACAAATATTCATTTTCTCGTCGAACAACTATTTATTTCACATATATTCACCTCCTACAGGACAATAACGCGGTTAAAAAAAACAGAAATTTCGTTCGTTTTTCCACTAAAATTTCAAGGAATTTTTTCATTGAAAATTAACAAATTTAATGGAAAAACGAATGGAAAATGTGAATTTCATTCCAATTATTGCCTGAAAATCCGCAATGTATTCGGTGTTTAATAATAAATCCGTCCTTAAATTAAAAAAACGTAACAGAAACCAAAAATATTGTCAAGTGATCAGGTACTACTACCGATTAGAAACTGCATCGTTTGCCTCAATCAAATGTTCTTGACTTTATATATCATTCCACAAATTTGGTTCTAGATAAAGTGCATACGACTGCATTCTCACGCCTCGGACAACAAAGGGATTGAATCTCTTCCATAAATGCATGTCATGCACGTCAATTTCCTGACATTGAAGTGTTAACATTCATACATTTTCTGTTTCTCTTCCTCCTCCACTTCCTGTTCCATCTGTTAATGAAAAAAAAATGCGATGTTACTGCGATACAAATTGAAGGCCGGTGGGACGGTTAATTGGAGAGTGGCTATATTATAGATATAGAGTACAGTAAAACCCGACGCGGTTTTGACGTACAGACGCAGTTGATACTTGAGCGTTGAAAGGAGCACATCGTAGATTGTAGGAGAATTAGAGTGAACATGACGTAAATAGTCAACACAGTGATACATGTGTGGATGTTGTTGCGTAAGCAACGGGACTTTCATGCCGGCAGAATTCGTCAATTCTAATATTTCCAATTGTGGATCAATCGTTATATTTTGGGAGATCATCGTGGTATTTTTGAACGGAACTTCGTACTGGAAATAGCGGAGGCCTTCGTTGCGTCAGAATAGCAAGTATTTTCATGTCTTCTCGCGTTTTCCGATGGAGATTCGGTTGTACTGATTGTTTTTGCTGGGACAAATCTTGAGTTTAAAACAAACAAATGTTTAAAACACCTTAAAGGAATTTATAATGATTTTTTTTTCTCGAAACTAGGAAAGGGACGCGCCTCGCACGCGCATTATTGGCTGGTGATCTATACATATTATTTTTTATTGTTATATATTCATTTATTCATTAAAAAGGACTTAATGTTCCCTTTCACTGAGATTCGATTCGAGAAAGAAATTTGAGAAATGATCTTTAGAAATTTGGACGATGAAAAATTCACGTTGCAAGGTTCAAGAAATTAGGTGCATCTAACAAAGAAATCGGCCCCATTTTCCAAGTGTGGAAATCAAAATCTTCGGAATAAATTGTCCACTTTCGAAATTCATTCTTTTTTCCGGTGTTTTGTTGTTGTTTTTTCAAACGTTATTCATCTTTTCTTCAATGTGCATATAAATTTATTGTTGATAACAATTCCATAAGTATTTTTATGTTATTATCGCGGTTTTCGGGTCCATAACATAAACTCACGTATCAAAAAATTCAATAGTCTATGAAGTTTTTATAGGATTTCTATTGGAATTCTACTGAAAAATTCTACTCGTTTTTTGCGCTGATTCTATTGGATATTCGATAAGAAAAAGTCAACAGATTTCGAATGGCTGTCTGAATTTTTCTCTTAATATTATTCTATAAGAATGCTTCGACATCAATTTTCTACATTTTTTCCACTCGGATTCTGTAATGCAAAACAATACAAAATGCAGAGAAAAAACTTTGAAAATTTGGGTCCAATAATTCTAATAGAAAAATCTCAAGAGAATAATTCGAATAGAAATTAAAAATATGTTGACCTTTTCCTATCAAATATGCAATAGAATCAGCGCAAAAGACAAGTTCAATTTTTCAATAGAATTCCAATAGATTTTTTTAGCGAATTCGCTAGGTTTTCTATTAAATTTTTTCACAAAATATTTTCTGACGAATGTGATTATAATCCTCGCCTTCGGTTGGTATTATAAAGCCGCATTAGTCGGAAAATATTTTGTGGACCTAATGATGAAATCTACTATTGTTCTACCCCAAGATTCAACTTTTTTTGAAATTTGAGTATTCGAATTTTTCAACTATATTTTTCTTGTACATCTTTCCTGCACAGTTTAGCTATCAAATATATATATGCATAATAAAACGAAAATAAAAAAAGAATAGACATTCATCTGTTTAAATTGAAAAAATAAAATAAAATAATAATTTTTTAAATAAATGAATAAATAAATATATATATATTTATAAGCAAATAACCTTGAAATATTATTAAGTCTAGCATTTGCTTGGCGAAATAGGGTGCTGACCAAAAATGTTTTACCTATTGTTCAATAGAGGATAAAACAATGATCGTGCTTTCCCATTCTAAAGTCCTTGACAGTATGAAAAATTCACCTTGAAATTTTTTATTTCGCGGTACACTGATTAGATATTCGATATCTGGAGTTAATTGCACAGGTGAGTATTTTTCGTCCCAACGATGCGTCTCGAGAGATAATCATTTTATTACTACTGGCTAATCAATTTTTTCCGGAAACTAATGATCGATGACTTTTCAAATCAGCGTAGATGACTGGAGAGAATTCTCTCCAGTCATCATTGATGATTCGTGTAATAACAGCTGTAATTACCGATTAAAAAAGTAGCCAGTGTGTTCTCAAGATAAAGATTCAAATCATCGAATAGTATGAATTATTTACGACAGCACTAGTAATACCCAAAAAATGCGTTATTTTGAGATTTCAAAGATCTTGAAGTAGGATTTTCTGAAAATCTCAATTTGAGTTTTTCGACAAGCTTAATTCACAAATGCATTCTCAAACATCTCAATTTGCAATGTTATCGATAATTCTTCTCTTCTCACCTCCAGAAATAATTGACGATGTCAACCCTGGATTACCTCGCAGCCCTCCTAGCCCTCGGTGGACTGCTCTACTACTGGTCAATCTCAACCTTCTCCTTCTGGAAAGATCGCGGAGTCCCCGGACCCAAGCCCCTCCCGCTCATTGGCAACTTCAAGGACGTCCTAACAGACAGAATATCCATTGGCCCTTGGCTCTTGAGCTTCTACACTGGTTACCAGAATGAGCCGATGGTGGGTATCTTCATCCGTCGACGACCGGTCCTAGTCCTCAGGGATTTGGACCTCATCAGAGACATCTTCATCCGGGACTTTTCAAAGTTTCCGGATCGAGGACTTAAGGTCTTCGAGAAGGCCGAGCCCCTCTCCCAACACCTGCTTAATCTCGAGCATTCAAAATGGCGGCCTTTGAGGAATAAGCTGTCCCCAGCGTTCACCTCAGGAAAATTGAAGGACATGTTCTACCTCCTGCTGAACTGTGGAGATCATCTCCAAGAATATGTGGACAAATTGATTTCTAAAAGTAATTCGATTGAGGTGAGGGATCTCACGGCTAGATTTACAACTGATGTCATAGGATCCTGCGCATTTGGTCTCGAGATGCATGCGATGGACGACGAAAACAGCGAATTCCGAAAAATGGGAAAATACGTTTTCGATTTTGACTGGAAGAAGGTGCTGAAGTTTAGGATAAGGGAAGGTGCTCCCTGGTTGTACCGTCTCCTGTGGCCCATCATGAGAGACAACTATCTCACGGACTTCTTCATGAACACGATGAAGGCTACAATTGAGCACAGAAGGAAGACTAAAATAGTCAGGCACGATTTTATCGATCAGATTATCGAGATTCAGGACCATCCGGAGAGGATTCCAGAGGTGAAGCTGACGGATACGCTTCTGACTTCTCAGCTATTCGTGTTTTTCTTGGCGGGATTCGAGACCTCCTCGACGACAATTAGTAATGCTCTTTATGAGCTAGCGCAACATCAGGATTGCCAAGATAGGTTGAGGGAGGAGATCAGGGAGGTGATGAAGAGGGAGGGAAAACTGACGTATGACGTGGTGAAGAATATGAAATATCTGAATATGGTATTCCAAGGTGAGATCTATACGTGTGATATCACCGTTAATTTTGTTTCTGGTAAATTTTTTGTAAACCTACCCCAATGTTATGCAACAGTTAAATGGCATCTTATCTTGATGAAGAATTGCCGTAACAATTTTGTTCCGGTAAAATTACCGTCATTCACATCTGTAGAAATACTTTTCAATTTACACTCAGCATTGAGGATTTTTTATGCTTCATAATCATAGTCAGTATCTTTGAAAGGTAATTTGCAGTGGGAAAGTCATGATTTACCATTCGGGTATTTTACCGAGAATGTGTAAATTACCCGTATGATTACCGCTTCACATTTCCAGCAAAAACGAGTGATGTTATCCTCTTATTGTTGATTGTAAGATTCTGGAGACGAGGATAGTTTTGCAGTCATGTTTTTTTTTCAGAAACATTGAGGAAATATCCACCTGCAATGATCCTAGTCCGACGAAGTGATGCACCGTACACCTTTTCCAACACATCTGTGTCAATCCCAGCGGATACACTCATTATGATCCCTGTGATGGGTATCCACAGAGATCCTGAGATCTATGAAGATCCAGAGAAATTCGATCCTGAGAGATTCACGGAAGAAGCTTTCAAGTCTCGTCATCCGATGAGCTATCTCGCTTTTGGTGATGGACCACGGAATTGCATTGGTATGAATTAATAAGAGAACCATTTACCTGCAATAAGAATTCAATTGAGTGTACAAAATATTTGGATTTTGTATTTTATTTCAGGCGAACGCTTTGCTAAGCAACAAACAAAGGTCGGCCTCATCAAAATCCTAGAAAGGTTCAGGGTGGATGTGAACGACAAGACCGAGATACCTTATAAGGTCAACCCCAGAGGCTTCCTCTTAGCGCCGCTCAACGGGATTCACTTAAAGTTCACGAAAATCTAAAATCTTTTCTATTTTTAATAATAAATAAACACAGGATTTTTTAAATTCAAGGGTCGACTTTTCTTTTACTATAAATTTTCCATTACAAGACTGTCGATTTCGCATTTATTCAACTTTCAGGTGACACAAATGTCACTGAAACGAATTCAATTTTATTCTCTGATATTTCGTCTAAAGGACTTGTGTTTTTAATTCTTCTCCTTGCAGTCAACATTTTCTGTATTTCTATTTTCTAAGGAAATGTCAGGGAAAAATGAACGAAATAGACAGTACACGTGCATCGAGCCTCAAGGATGGAACCATTTTCTTTTTTTTTTCTTCATTTCCACCAATTATCCCGTCAAGTTGCTGTTTTCAGATAACAGAAAACGATAGAAATGTCCTCGTTAGAATTTTAAAACAATAAGGTGGAAAATAAAACAAGCATTTCTTCAGTACAAATCATCAGTTCAAAATTGGCAGCGAGTGCATCAACAACTCGTAGGGTTTCAAAGTAGTTATTTGTCATGAATTCTGCATTATTCGTGGTTGTCGCTGCGCTTGCGCTGCATTCGGTACGTTTTGACGAGATCGTTTAGTAATAGGAATATTGTCCGGAATTTTTTCTTCTTTTATTCAATTATTTATATGAAATAACACACCGAAAAAGCTGATTAACTTGAAAAAAGTTGTTAGATTCTGGGAATTTCGCTTCTTGAGGGGAGACTACTATGAATTTTAAGCCTAGATTGGTCACCCTACGAGGAAAACGGAAAAATTCGAAAAAAATTTACTTCGTCAATTGAAGGGTCAAAAAAATTATAGTAGTTTTTAAAACGACATCTTTCCCAAAATTCCTGAAGAAAAATTATTTCGAACAGATGAATTATTTTGTCCCATGTTAAATAAAAATGCCTATGACGCGATGTTGCCGGACACTCGCTAAACGCACCCGAGCAGTGTAGAGTGAAGTCGGCAATGCTAAAGCCTAAATAACACGGCGGTGAATCCCCACGGAGGTGATCAAGTCGCAGAGTCGCGTTTGGTGACCAGACTAGGCTTAAAATTCGCGGGCTACACGGAGAGAAATATTCAGTAAAAATTACGGAACAATTCACGTAATCCTTAATGGGGAATCGTTTTCCGGCCATTTTTATAGGAATCGAAGAGAAGAAATCGGAAACTTTCAGTGAATTTTCAGGTTCATCACCGAACAAAGTACGAAATTGTCATGTAATTTCCCCGAAGAAGTAAAATCTTACAGAAACTTTCGGATTTATTATGCCTCCAAAATAAAAAATTCTTGAACGTTAACAATTTTTATGAAGCTGGTGAGTTATTTCTACATTCCGTTCCGTAAAATTTCTCAATTGTTGGGGAAAAATTACGGAACGACTTGTTGTCCCCACAGCGTTGAGTTATCAGACGGGTGGTTAATTTTTACAGAACAAATCGTAGAATTTACGTGGCGATTCGTACAATTTCACTTCAGACTCATACGTTTAATTGAAACGAATAATTAAATTTTGAAATTGAATTCAGAAATCGTAATTAAGTGTTGAAACCTCCCACTCCTTCCCTTCCCCTGATCGCCCTTGCACCGACATTCGACTATTATTTACTTTATGCCACTCATGCCTGAAACCGGCTGGATTACACACTCGACGCTTCGCGTCTCGTGTCTAATTCAGCCGGTTTCAGGCTTCGTGACATAAAATTTTGTTCAGTACTTGTGGGGAAATTTCGTCCTTAACGTGTGTGGTTACATCACTCGCCTTCGGCTCATGCTGTAAACCCCACACACGTTAAAGACGACATTGCCCCATACGTGCTGAAATATACTATTTTGTGATACCTGCCTCAAAAGTGCACTTTTCGCAACGGCCTAGTGTACGTAAAGCGGTTGTTTTCCGCTCAGCGCGCATAAACTTCAAGATCGTGCGCAAAAACAACTCGATTACAGTAGAGTCTTCGTAACTTCTCTACTCTCCAACTTCCCAGCGATCAGCGACAGTGGGGAGAGTGTTCCCTTACTCTGAGCATCCCAAATGTGTGTGAGTGATATGCGTGTATCCCTCTGCCCTTGGTGAATGCGCAGTAAACAGTCTCCGCTTTTGGGAGCCTATTCTCGAATTGAAATCGTACGTTCGACTTCAACAAGTCGCGTACGGCCCATGGTAAGGTGCATCACGAGTAGCATGCGACCTACAGAAATCGAACGCACGATTTCAACTCGAGAATAAACTCCCTGCACGTTTTTCGTACGGTAGGACTCCTGTAATTTCGAGCCGGCTATTTTCGACGGGCGGAGTCACACCGTCCCCACTCTCGCGCTTTCAGTCCCCACTCATTCGGTTTACGAAATGGTCCCATCATCTCCCGGGCGCATAGTCCTATGCTCCCGAGTGTTTCCCTAGCCTCAATCATTGGGAAAAATCATAGATATGTATCTATGGGAAAAATGGACTTTGGAGTTATGTAACATAATGTGTTCTCTCTCTGACCTACCCACTACGCGCGCTTGACCAATGAGAGCTCGGCCGACTATTTTTGACTTCTCGGAATTCGTTCCCCCGTTGAGGCGAAATTATAGGAGTCCTACTGCACTCCGCGTGTCCCATACCGCGCTCTCTCTCTCTCTCTCTCTCTCTCTCTCTCTCTCTCTCTCTCTCTCTCTCTCTCTCT